GTTTTAGATAAATACCTAATCTAGGAGAGATTTCTATTCTACAGAGAAATGGTTATCACACCCCTGCTGTGTAGGACTAATACTATGATGACATAGTGAGACAGCAAGGTCAGGAGAAAGAACCAGATGGATTTTAATTCTGCCCCGGCTGCACCCAGAGTCCTCCAGGGCTTCCTTGACATCAGAATGGTAGGAGACCAGGGCTTCTCAACCTCAGCACTGCTGGCTTGGGCTGACTAATCCTTTGCTTCACAGGTCCTTTCAATTCACATTGCAGCACTGACTTTTTATAAAGGAGGAAACTGGGGATCATAGGCAGGTAATTTACCCAAAGGAAGAGAGCTCATACCTGTCCACCAGGGCAGAGCACTGGCTTGCATCCCCTGCTCTTTCCAGCACAGCAGGGAGGGTGCCTGCCCCTCAGAAGCACATGGCATGTGAAATTGAGGAAGGAAAGAGCCAGGCTGTGGCACTCAGGGACCTGAGGACTGAGCCACTTGAGAGCCAGAGTCCTTATCACCTGAGGTTCACACATTACCAGCGACTGTACACAGCCCCCTCTGGCCTCTGGAACAGAGTGGAGGTCAGGGATGGGGAAGGGTGGCTGTTGCCAGGTTAGGATAGCTCATAGGAAAGCCTAACCCACCCAGAGCCACCAGCTACCATGGGGCCAGTGTCACCAATCCCAAAGGGTCTATGAAGTACGCAGGATTCTTGCAAGAAGCTCTGAGCCCACTACTCAGAGCACAGAGATCACTTCCATGTGACTTTTCCTGAGACCCCTGGGTGTCCAGGAGGAAGAAGAAATGGGGCAAGACCCCATACATATGTTCTGTCATACACACAACCTACCTGGGCCTCTCTCCTAAGATTAAGGGCCCCAGTGAATGTGGAAGAAGTACCCCTGGGGCAGTTTCCTTTCTCCCCCTTGAGGCCACTCAACATGCTTCTGGTCCTAAAGGGGCTTTTCTGGGTTTGGAAAGAGGGAAACGGGGTCTTCCTTCTGTGGAAGGTATCTTCCTTCTGGCAATAAGCCAGCCAACCCCCCCTCTTTGCCTTGGATTCAAAGCTGGTCTAGAGGACAGTAAGAAGAGGTGTGTATGTGTGTGTGTGTGTGTGTGTGTGTGTGTGTGTATTTTCCGATGCTTGCCATTCTCCCCACAACTCGATGGTAGAACCATCATTATCCCCATTTCACAGGTGAGAAAGTAGAAGTGCAAAGATTTAAGGAATTTGCCCAAGAGCTAAGTGAGAGACCCAAGACTGGAACTCGTGACTTGGTTTCACACTTAGTGTTCTTGACTGCATCATCACCTTCTGCCCAGAGCCTCTGTTTGCTCATCCATAAAATGGGTGTGATTGCAAAACATGCCTCATAGGTTCATTGCAAGAGTTATGTGAAACAGCCGGGACCGGTTTGGCTCAGTGGATAGAGCATCGGCCTGCAGACTGAAAGGTCCCGGGTTTGATTCCGGTCAAGGGCATGTACCTTGGTTGTGGGCACATCCCCGGTGGGGGGTGTGCAGGAGGCAGCTGATCGATGATTCTCTCTCATCGATGTTTCTAACTCTCTATCTCTCTCTCTTCCTCTCTGTGAAAAATCAATAAAATAAAAATAAAAATAAAGAGTTACGTGAAACAATGCAAAGTAAAGTGCTTGCGTGAGACTGTCGGTTGCTGTCATCCCCAGACAAGATTTTGTTGCAGGTAACACAGGGAGGGACCATCTCCTTCCATGCTTTTTGATAAAGGCCAGGAAGACAGCTGGGTGAGATATGGCTCTGTTCCCCAATCTCACTTAGTCAGCCATGGGGAGCTGAGAGCCAGCCCTCCCCCATCGCCGGTGTGCTGGGAAAATCACATTTGTGTGAGAAGCTGAGACATGCTAATTCATCACTCTGTCATTTGTGCTAAAATATAATAAGATGAGTTGGTCTTACCTGGTTTAAGACCACAGCCCTGTGCGTGCCACCAGTTCCCATCACCCCACATCTCATTACAGTCCATCGAGGGTTTGGCTCATTCTTGCATCTTCCTTCACATCTGTGTTTTGATCAAAAACCTGGAAATGACAGCGGTGCACTCTTTGAAGTCCTTTTAATCCTCTCTCTCTCTCTCTTTCTCTCTCTGTCTCTCCCTCTCTTTTTCTCTCTCCTCACAACAGGTGGGTATGATTATCCGGGTCTATTTTACAGATGAAAATACTGAGGTTCAGAGGAGCTAAGCAAATTGCCCAAGAGAGAAGAGAGAGCAGAGGGCTTGGCCAGCCCCTCCCTGGTACACTGAGATCCTAAATAACCAGGCCTGGGCTGGGTGAGTTGCCTGCAACTGCCTTGGGGCAGGAATTCAGGCCAGCCTTGGCGGGAAGAAGGGAAAGCCTTCCTCCTGGCATGGGGGCAGGGAGAGGGGGAGAGAGAGGGGTAGGGGGCAGGGCAAGGATGTGTGACTACTTGTCATGGGCCACACTGAGAAAGCTGACCTAAGGCTATTTTGATCCCTGGGCACAAGATGGCCCTCTCTGTTGGGGTTACATGACCACCAACACCCCTCCAAGCAGTCCTCTGGATGGCATCCTCTAGTATAGCCACACTGGTTTCCTTGCCCTCACACTGCTCCTTTCCTGTCCTGCTGCCTCAGGCCGAGCCACCACAGCTTCTCAAGCTGCTCTCATGGTTTGGGCTTCGGAGTGGCCCACTCGAAGCTCTCTCCCTTCCCCCCACCTTTTCCCCCTTTGGAAAGGAGGATGTACAGCTTGCTATTTACAAAAAAATCTTCTCTCCAATCTCCCAAATTCTGCATTTCAATCCCTGTTCCCTGAGGTATGGGATTAGCTGAAGATGGCAAAAGCATTTCCAGCCACCCCCTCTACAAGTCTTGCATAGATGGCTTAGCACCTTGATTTGGAAAGAGGGGATTTTTGCACGTATGGTTTTGTGCACACCTGTGAGGCTTACGAAAGAATCCCACTTGAGCTTCCTGACCTAGGAGCTTAGGCAGCTGTAAGGCCTCTAGCCCTCTTGCCACAGTGTGTGTGTGTGTGTGTGTGTGTGTGTGTGTGTGTCACAGTGTTCATCTTGGGCCCCAAGCTCTCCATGTCTTCTTCCCAGCAGTGTAACTCCATTTCTATGGTATCCCCCAGACATCCGACCCAAATGCATACGAGAAGGCATGAGTTGATGTACTGATGTCTTTTAAAGAGTCTGGACCGGCAGTCAAACAGCCTTGCAGTAGGCCTATCTCTCTCACTAAAGGGCTGTGCAACCTTAAACAAGTCAGTTACCCTCTCTGGGCTTACATTTTGCAGCTCTAAAACAAAGAGCTTGAACTTGATGGTCCCTGAGGTCCCTCCAACTCTGGGATGCCGAGTGGTCTGGGGATTGTGCAAGGCCAGGGCCAGGCCAGTTCAAGGGCAGAGATGATGCCAAAACCCTTCAGTGCCTGACATTTCCACTCCCATCAGTGGGCTGCTTTGTTTCAGGTGACAAGGTTGTCATGGGGTCTGTCTCCTGCCTCAGGGAACAAGTAGGCCCCCAGTTCAGGATAGAAACACAACAAAAGGGCAGGCCCCTGAGCCTGGGGGGCCTCGGGCAATGTCACCCTCAGCAGGTCCAGGAAGCAGCCTTATCCCAGCATCTAAAACAGGCAGCAAATGGAATGGTTTCCAGGCCCCCCATCAGCCAAAGATAAAAATATAATGGGCTCAGGGATGTCCCGTCATAAATCAATCAGCTGGAACTATTTCTGTCCTTATCCCTTGCCAGGGGTCCTCCTATGACCTCCACACATTCTGTCCTCTCGCCCTGGTCCCCCAGCCACCTTAGCTCTGAAGTAGGAGGCCGCTCACCCTCTGCCTTGGGACAGAGTTGCAGCCGCCTGGCCCGCCAGCGTGAGGATGCTGCCCTGCCTCCAGGTGCACAGGGAGGCATTCAGGCGCCCCCACCAGCCTCTGGGAGCCTGCTCCCCATGAGTCCACTCTGACCGGCCGATCAATTCCTGTACACGCCAGGCTTCCTGGCCACAAGGCAGTCCATGGGCTGGGTAAGGTTTTCCAGGAGTAAACGTCCCTGAGGAAGCCCTCTGCCTGGCTGTGGGTAGGGCATCTCCTTCATGTCATTACAGAGAAGAAAGGCCCACCTCTTAAGGGCACTGGGAGGAATAAATGAGACTCCATAAGTAAAGCACCACACTCAGCACCTGGCAAGCTACATACTCAGAAAATAAGACCGGCCCCGCCTTTCCCATTGTCAGGAGCCCAGATTTTCAGGACTGACCATGTCCTCAGGTCCTCTGAGGAGATTTTGGTCCATCTGAATCCCTAAGTCAGCTTCAAATCTGGCTCTTGGAGAGACTTTTGAAGGCATTTGGCCTGTTGTGAGAGCCAAAGTCAGTTCCCTAGTAACTAACCTTACATGCAATGCTATGGGGCCTGCACACTACATTCTCATATCCTGTCCTCCATTGCCCTCTGCAGGTCATTGTGCGATACTGCAGGCACTGTTGGCTGCATCCTTGTGACCAAGGAAGACAGACTTGAGGAAGTTTTCTGATGAGCACAGCAGGACAAGGCCAGGTATCTCAGGAAGACAGCACCTCGAGTCACAAAACACTTGCTCCTTTGGTTTCATGGCCCCTCTGCCTCGCCTCTGTTCCTAAGCTCCGAAGGGAATTCACAGTCATTGTTCAGCCCTTTTGGCCCATGCTAATAGCAGCTGACACATCTCAGCCTGGGGTATGCCCTAGAACATTCTGAGAAATCATTTGAAACAGACAAATTCTGGTTCAATTTATAAAGTTCTTGAGTTTGTATCACACTGTCTAAAATACTCTGAGGAAGGGAACTTTGTAGGAAAATTGTGTGTGTGTGTGTGTGTGTGTGTGTGTGTGTGTGTGTGGTGTGGTGTGTCAGTGTGAGAGCATTCTCCAGAAACAAAGGCTGGCTAAGATATGGCAGACACTAGCCATTTGTGCGGTTATGGCGAAACCTAAGCATTTCCCATATGCCAGTCAGCTAACAGCTTCATTTATTAGTGACATCCAGCTCCAGCCTCAACTGGAGCATGGTTTCCACCATCCTTCCATGGCCAGAATCTTGAACGCTGTCTGGCAGAAGGTGGGCATTCTATACAATGAAGACACAAGACAATGTCACATTGTCCACCTAGAGCCACGGAGTGGTGACATCACCAGCCAGAGAAACCACAGGGATGGCTGCCTTTCTCTTGTTCTCTTTACCAGCCTTAGGAGGGTCTTAGCAGAGCTCATTACACCCATAGAAAGGGAGCCAAGTCGTTGGCACCTGCAGGTCCCTTATGTAAGAGGAGTTTTCAGGTCGCAAATTTATAGACTTTTAGAGCTGGAGGAGACCTTAGAGATGATTCCAGTCCAATCCTTTCATTGCAGTAAAATGAAGTACAGTAAATGGAAGTGACATTCCAAGGACACAGAGACTCTAGAGACAGCTGGGATGAGAACCCCAGCTCCTTGACTGCTTTTTTTCTGGCTGATCTTGATTTGGGTATCATTTCTAGATGGAAAATATTCTGCCTTCAAGGGAAGATTTTTAAAAATGATTTTTTTTTAAATACACAAAGGGGAAGAGAAGAAACCCATCACATAGTAGGCACTCAATAACTGGGTTTGTTTGGTTTGGGTGTTATGGAGTAGTATTACTTTATGCAACTTCACAAAATTAGACCAAATTAACCTTGAATTTGTTTCATTCTTTATTCTCTCCGATAACCCAAAGGTGATTCGAGGCTTGAATCTCATCCCATTGTCCCATTAAGATTTTTTGTGTATAGATTTGAGGTTATAATATGATGTTCATTGGTTTAAAGGAAAAGCTGCCTGAGGAAGGCACGTGGATTTAAAATAGCTTTTGTTCAAGCTACTGGAGGCTTGTGGGATTCCAGAAGGACAGACACTGTCAGCACGTGAGGTTATACCGTCTGTCTAGTGAGTTGGGACATAGCACAAACACTTCCTGAATCAATTTAATCATATACATGATTAAGACAGACCTAAAAAGACCCTTCATTGCCTATTGCCACTTGGGCCTTGGGCCTAATAGGTCTAGATTTGCTTATCATTATGTTTACAAATCACATTTTTTATCAGATTCTTCCAATGTATTCAGTGTTCTTTCAAACACCATTCTGATGAATCAGTGTTGTCATCCTGCAGCTTTCATAGATTCATGTTCTTCAGGGCATGTTCCATGCTTCGTGCGAGAAGAGTCCCCTGAGGGCTTTCTCTTCAGACTCTCTGAGACCAGGGTTTACAGTTTCCTGGTACATCAGTGATGCACTAGAAAGAAAAAAACAGAGAACTCACTGCCAGGGTCTTCCCATAGTGCATGCCCACTCCCACCCTCTGCACATGCCACCTCCCACCACTGCCAGCCACCATTCTAAGCCCAAACACCACTCTGCGGTCCCAGCTGTTGGAGATGCCTCCTGGCAGAACCCCTTAACTTCCTAGTCATTCCCTTCTTTCTACTGAGCACTTTTCATGTGGCAGGCACTCTAGGAGGCTCTGGAGGTACAGGGATGACCAAATTCAGAAGTAGTCCTTCTAGGACACAGTTTTTCAAAAGCATAGAACCAGCTGCTTGGTCAAGTCTCCTGCAGGGGACTAAATCACTGGTGAGTTGTAACATAGCAAAGAGGCTCATTAAGTCACTGAGTCATGCATTAGATTGCTTGCAAAGAGCTAACTTTGCAACCTGTACGGTTTGCAGGGAGCCATGCAGCACTTGCCCTCTCAGGGAATGGGGTTTGGGGACCTGTCAGCACTGGGGCCATGGTGGAAGGTACTGGGCTGTGGGAAGGTTGCTGCACAGCGGTGGGCATCCTCCCTGCCTCGTAGCTCGCGCTCCACAGCTAACACTATTGGCAAACCTGAAGGATGACCAGACTACAACCGCATCAGCCTCCCTTTCTCTCAGTGCGGAGGTCTGGTATGGCAGATGTGCCTGCCCGAGGGGCTCTCCTGTCCCCTCCTCATCCCTGGAACACTTTGGATCCATAACTACCTACTTCACCTCTAAACCCCAAGGGCCTATCAAATTTCCCAACAGATGACCCAGAAATACAACTTGGGGATTGGGAAGAACCTGGTTCTGCTACCTCAACAGAAGCTGCCGTTGCAATTTAAGAGCCCAGGCTGCTTTGGAGGGCCTAACAGGAGAAGACACTGTTCTAGCCTGGCCTCCTGATACCAGGCATTGTCCACTATGAGTGTCACATAGGGCCTTCCCCAAATGATCCCAACGTCCATGGAATTCCTGTTCTATTCTGCTACAAACATCTCCAAGCTGGTAACCCACATAATGAGATCACGTGACTTCCTAAAAGGCTAAAATGTCTTCAGGGGCACCTGTGTGTCCCCAGGATCTGCCTGGCACATGGTAACCACAGAACAACTGTGGGTTATCTGATTATTTAAGTCGTTCTGCTTTTTCTCTCTATCTGCTTTGTACCTCACACAGTGTTTCAAAACACATGCTAGTGGTGGACAGAAACAATTAGGGTTCTCTGGAGCTTTATCCATCACCCTCATCTTCATGAAAATAATGAAATCTATAGGTGTATACACTGTCCTCCCTACTCTAAGGAGGCCCAGCTATAAGCTGAAGCTTTAAGGAAAATTATTGTTCTTTTCCTGCAAGTTCAAGGGCATGCTACCGGAGAGTGGAGTGTAGCGTTGGCCGGTGTGTGGTTGTGTGGTTGAAAGAGAGCCTAATACCTCTGTCCCCCTGCAGAAAACGCCCCTACAGTTCATGGGCCTGTGCCCTGACCTCCCCCAGACTGAGTGGGTGCTCAAGAGTCATCCTACCAGGGTGGTGAACTTGTCCACACAGGCATTGCGGATCTTCTCCGGGGTGGCAGGGCTGTCTAGCCGGAAGAGCTCCTTCGTATTACTGCCTCCATGCTGAGCTCGGGCTGCACGGATGGCATCCTTGATGGCAAAGAAGATGGAGGCGGCCAGGAAGAGAGGCGGCTCTCCGATAGCCTGGGGGGACAACGTGGGGGACAGGAACTCAGGCGGAGAAGCCCCAGCCTCCACAGCAGGAGGGCCGGTGATGCTGGAATGCCAGCCACTAGCATTGACAGGCCTCAATCAATCAGGGACCCAGAACACTCACTCTAGTAAATGACTGGATCTTGTGGGCATATTTCTCTGAATTCTTACTGTGTGATTCCTTGATGACACCATGCAAATATTGTGAGATTCTTCGCCCCCCTCCCCCCCAATTTTTGGGCTGAGTTATGACATTACTGGCATCTGTCACAGAGACATCCTCAAGACATTGAACCACCAATTAGCATGTACCAAAGTGCCCTGGAGCCCACCCCTTCCTGTTCAGCCCTGGGTCCAACCCTTTCCTGTTCCTCCCCTTAAAAAGACCCCCAGACCAGCCAAGTGCTGCTTGTACTCCATGTCCATCTGCAGGCAGCCTGGCTAGGTCCTCTCTCCCCTCCCCACTCCTTCAATTCTGATTTCTCTACCTCCGTAATTATTTCAGAGAGCAAGGGAGAGGGAGAGAGAAATAGATATATGAATGATGAGGCTCATTGATCATCTGCCTCCTGTACACCCCACACTGGGGATCAAGCCCATAACTTGGGCATGTGCCCTGACCAGGAATCCAACTCTAACCTCCTGGTTCATAGGTCAATGTTCAGCCACTGAGCCACACCAGCTGGGCCGGAACTGCATTTTTATCATGAGCCAGTGGCAGGGGTTGCAAAGTGTCCCAGATGCTCCCATGGTAACAACACCCATGAGATGAGCAAATGGGTGGGTTTCATTGCTTTCAAATGATCAACTGTCTTCCTTAGACCTAGGACTAGATCAATCATCTTGATGAATTTTCAACCAATTTTTCATACATATTGGGGAGGTTGGTTATCATCCTTCAGGCATTCTAGTCAAGTCTTAAAGTCACGGGGCACCCCCTGAAGGAGGTGATGGGGTGCACAGAGGGACTGCCCCATCTTCAGTGAAAGAGCTTGTTCTCATAGGAGACAAAGGTACTGTATCTGTGAGATAGTGTCTAGGACCAAACCTCAAGGATGGATACCTGAGATGAGAATGTAGGTCAGGGTTTGGTCTATAGGATTGGGTTAAGGACATCCTCATTGTACCCAAAGCAGCGGGCTTCTCCCACACAGAGGAGCTGTCATGTTCAATCCAGTTCCCTGGTTTTCAAGCAGTACTGCCCGCCCCTCCACCACCATCACCAAAGCCAATATCAAGCCCTTTTCTCATAGGAGCGCCATTCACACCCACATGGTCGGGGGGGGGGGAGAAGGGGGGCGACCTGTCACCATCCGGGGCCTCCCACAGTGCAGACAGGACGGCAGCCCAAGCCCGGGGCAACCATACCTTGGATGCGTAGATGGCCTTCTTGTTGGGAGAGTCACGGAGCAGAGACACCCTGAACTCCGTGGGGATGCTACCAAATGCCGGGATCTTGTAGGTGCCAGGGCCACGGGTGAGCAGGGTCCCATCAGGGGAGTAGTGCAGCTCCTCCAGTGTGAAGAGGCCCAGACCCTGGACAAATGCGCCTTCCACCTGCAGGGCAGACAGACACTGTGGACACACCGCTCCCCACTCTCCAGGCACAGGTCCTGCTTCCACTGCAGGGACCAGGCCACCTGGAGTGGGGCCTGGAATGATGCTGGAAACAGCCCTGCACTGCTTACCTGGCCCCCGACCGCCAGGGACCACCTCTCCGGGCTTCTGCCAGGCATGGGCACTGAAGCTCAGATTTGGAACCCGGTGGTGATTCTGGAGGCCCATGCAGTGGTAGCACAATCTCCCATTAAAACCTGCCACAGGGAAGTGCAGATGCCCCTCCTTCTCACGGAATAATGGGTGCTGAGTGTCCCTCGGGGCCCATGCTCCTCTCTATGCTAAGTGGGACCTGCACTTCTGAGCAGCCCCAGGAGAGAGGAGGAGATTTTTGATAGTAGAATGCTGGCTTTTTGAACTGCCAGCCCCGCCTGCCCTCTAGGAAAAGGAGTGCCTCTGCTCTAGCTTACAGGTCTGTTTGGGGGCATCTGCCTCGCTCTATTCTCACCGTCAGGTAGGTGGTGCCATGTAGCCAAACAAAAGTGTTTAGGGACCAGGTGCTAACCATCTTCGTATTTGTGACTAAGATGCCTGAGTAGAGCAGGGGTGCCCCTCTCCCCATGGTTGTTCAATGAATGAATGAAATGACTGACTAGTGATGAGGTTTCTGTATACTAAGTAATTGTCCATTCTAGAGAGACATTCATTCACATTTTCTACCAGGTGCTCAGTACTTCTGATCCTGATTCCTCCCTCAGTCTCCTCCTGTTCCAGCTGCTCTGTCCAATGCTCTTATATTTTCCAAAAGTGCTTTCCTTTGATCATTTTTTTACCCCTCTTTTTCAAACCCAGGCTTCTACACATTGCTGTCCTGGGTTGGAGAGAAAGGAGAAGGGGAAAGCTTGCTAACCTCAGACCTCACTGCCTGCACATCGATCCCAAACTCCAGCTCCATCTGTGCATGTGTGTGTGGCTGTGTGTGCATGTATGTGCATACCCAGTGTTTTCCCCATTCATCTTGTTCTTTGAGGCGTGAGAGCCCTTTCTAGATCCATCCACTAATTTGCCTTCAGCCTCTAAAGGTGGGTGGGCTCTCATCCATCTAAGCATCACTCTGTGGAAGACACTCATGGTAACATGTTCAGACCCACGCAACAACAATATTGGACAAGATACTGTGGCTAATGGCCCTGGGAAGGAGATGGGGCACATCAGTAGCCCAGTCCATCAACACCCAGGTTCCCTGTGAGTCTTACCTGCCCTATGTCGATGGCAGGGTTCAGACTGCAGCCAACATCCATGACGATGTCTGTGCGAAGGTTCTACGGTGGACAGGGAAGTAAAAGCAGCTTGAGAAGAAGGGAATGTGTGGGATGACAGGTGGGTCTCGGTGACTCTTAGACTATGAAGTGCCAACCCAGATGATACTTCCACCAACAGCGTGCTCTGACCACACTCAGGCAGTCCCCAGTCTCCACTGCAACCATCACTGCTAAAGTCTGAATTCTGGGGAGCAGCTGGGGAAGGGGTGGGAGTGACTAGGGTCTCAGTAATCTAAAATAACTGCACATACCCCCACGTGGGAGTGGGAGGGACAGGTTTGCAGATTCCTGGGACTTTGAACCTAAGTGTGGGTAGTTCATGTAAGGAAGGAGTCAACACACTACGTTCTATGGGCTGAGGCCAGCTGGCCCCCTGGCTTTGTACAGCCAGTGAGCTACTAATGTTTTCATATCATTAACTAGCAGACAGAAATAAGAAGAATATGTGGTGACGTGAACACTGCGTGAAACCCACATCAGTGTGCATCAGTAACGCATTAGGGGCCCACAGCGTCGCTTGTTTGTTTCCATAGGTCTTGGCTGTTGCTGTGCTGCAGAGATAGGGTTTAGGCAGTGTCTCTGTGGCCCTGAAAGCCTAAAGTTTTTACTCTCTGGTCCTTTAAAGGGACTTTCCCAAGCCATAATATAAGGCATTATTTTCCCAACCACAGAGTTTGTCTTTGGTATTATAATTGAGTTGTTTCTCTTCTTTTCCACCCCTTAGTACTGAAGTTTTTGCAAACATCTTACCTTATGGTCCCCTGTTAAGCAGTCAATTTCCACTTCCGAGCAAGCCACCCCGTAGCTGAAGTAATTGAAGGGGGTCCCTGAGTTGGTCTCAAAGCTGTAGCCAACATTGGGTATTCTGGGGGAGAAAAGAGAAGATACTACATATGTATTAAAATGAATATGGCCCACCCCCCGCTCCCCATACACACACAAATGGCTTGTTCCACTAAATCATAAGACCCAAAGGTTTTATTTGTTTCATTCAGCTGTTATTCACAGTAGCCCATGTGCTTCGGACATTTTAACCTGTGAATGAAACCCAGGAATTTCAGAACACTAATCTGTATTTCCAACGGCCCTTGGGTGAATCACTCCATATAGCTGAGCCGTGATTAGAGTCAGCATGCTGGCCCATACCTGGTAGAAACTGACAGAGTTCCCTCAGCTCAGGAAGGATAGGAAAGTCATACTGCAGAGGATCTATGAGCTGGCATTCAAGATCTCAGAGCTGAAGGCTCCTGCACTGACTGACTCCTGGGCTTTTCCCACAGGCTCACCTGCCCTTCTTCCTCAAGGTGGAAATTAACAAGATCAGTATCTCAGGCCGGCCTGCATGCCCCTTTAAGCAGCCTCTTGCCTGCATTACTCTTCATCTATTGGTCCCTTCTAAATTTCAGTAAATGATTTGAGGAAAGTGTTATTAATAAAAGCAGATGGCCTCTTACATTTTTTTCTTCTTTAACCCTATCTTATATAATCCTAATTTTGCATGAGTCCCATATACACGTGTGTGTGTGTGTGTGTGTGTGTGTGTGTGTGTGTGTGTGTTCTCACACCAGAGTTCATAGTAGTACCTACAGTATTCTATACATCACACAGAAATCATGTGAGCTAATGTGATCATAATCTGCATTAGAAGAACACCAACGCGCGGCTGAGAGAGATGGCTTCTCTCAGAGAAATGATCTCTGGCTTCCCCACCTTTATCTAGGTGTTTCTGTATAGAACCCATTTGTCAACTCCAAAAATGGAATGTGAATTTGTGAGAAAACCTGCACTAGCTTATGTTTTTGTATGCCAAATGTTATATAGCCCAGGGAGCACCGACAAAACATTACTTTGCCTACAAAATAAAAACATATATTTACAAAAAAGAACTTTGGAACTAAACATTGAACTATTTGCCAAATCCATTGATCTGTGAAAGAAAACTTCCCAGAGAAAGCTAAAACCTTGTGGATGACAAGTTGATATGATCCTGTCTTTTTACAGCTTCCAAATCAGATGGGCCAGGTCTCTAACTCTTCATGCAGCTACTGAATTTTGAAGTCACAGAAGATACGTGCTCTTTTCTAAATCTCACTTTAAGTTCTGCTGAATTCTACATCTTGTAACAAGACCATGTGCTCTAAACCTTCCTCTCATTCTCTTTTTTATGTTTTATCTATTTTTATAGAGAGAAGGAGAGAAATAGAGAGAGATGGAAACATTTATGAGAAACATCAATTTGCTGCCTCCTGAATGCCCCCTATTGGGTATTTAGCCCACAACCTGGGTATATATATCCTGATCAGGAATCAAACTGGTGAATTCTTGGTTCATGGGTTGATGCTCAATCACTGAACCACGCCAGCTAGGCTTCCTCTCATTCTTAAGAAAAGAAAAGAAGAGAAAAGAAAAGAAAAGAAAAGAAAAAGAAAAAGAAAAAGAAAAGAAAAGAAAAAGAAAAGAAATAAAGGAAAAGGAAAGAAAAGAAACCCAATGCATACTACAAAGTAGCATGTTTAGGTAACTCAGAACATTGGATGCCCCTGGTTGCCACAGGGCAGTGCTGATGGAGGAGTGGTTTGTAACTGTCCCATTCTGTCATAAAGGAGGTTACAGGTTCAGAGGAAATTACTTATTTCCCCAAGAGCAATAGTCCACTAAGACCAGAACTAGAATGAGAGTCTCTGATATGGCAGCTCATGCTTTTGCCTCCTGGGCACGTAGCTTGGTAATCCCATGTATTTTAGAGCATCTTTACATTGAAATGAGTGGAAGTACACTGAAGAGATCAGAGTTTTGGTAGAACTGTCCTCTCCTGACCATAGGATGATAGAATTCCAGATTAGGAAGGACCTGAGAGGCCAGAATGACAGCACACTGTGAGATGGGTGAGATCACCACCATACATACTTGTAAAACCCAGTAGCAGACAAGCTCACTGCATCCTGGTAGGCAGCCGTGACCTGAGGAGAAGAAATGGCCATCAGGAAGGGGAAAGCATGGTTTCCAGTAACCGTGACCCAACAGTAAGCTTTTGTATGCTCATTCTCCTTATCTGGAAGTTGGTCAACCCTTGACTAGTGACTCTCACTTCCACACCTCACCTCACCTCACACCCTCATTGCCACCCCCTGCATCAGGTCCTTGACCTCAAAGCCTGGAGCACTACAATGGTCTCCTAACTGGTCTTTCCACCTCAAGTTGCTTCCCCCAACTGCTCTGTAACCCAGCCCAGGCGAGTGATCATCTTAGCATACTGAACTGCTCATGTCACTCTTCTACTCCAGAGCTTTCGACGACTCCCCATTGCCTACAGAGCAAATACCTGACCTTAAGGACTCTAGTCTTCTCTGGAGTAGAAGACATGCCATTTCCACTCCTCCAATTGCCTTGCCTTAGTCTTTACAACAGAAACTCTCTACAATGCTTATTTGATACCTATGTTCTTATGGGTACTTTCTTATTAATAAAGCTATCCATCTATCTAAGCATCCACCCTATCTCCTTAACTACATACATTTTCTAGGGTATCCCTAGCACTGGCACAGCACTAAGATTTAATTCATTGTTGATATAGTTTGCATCATGATTATTGTAAATAATCAAGCTCTTTACTATGTACCACATGCTATTGAATAATTTACATACATCATCTGACTTAATATTCAGTACAACCTTATAAAATCAGTATTATTATTATTATTATCTTAATTTTATAGATGAGAAAACAGAGGCTTAGAAAAGTTTCTTTAGGATCCTTACCATAAGTATATGGAATCAAATATATGCATATATAGTGGTAGTGGTAGTAATGGCTTATTTTCAATACAGTACAGACACTGAACAGATTTGGTGCCTATCATTCCTGATCATGTCTTTTTGATCATGGCCTTTTCTGAGGTCATCTGCTTATAAAGAACACTGGGCTATACAGCTAATGGTTGAGGACAAAGCTCAGGTCAACAGATTGTAAAGGCTGTTGTTGAAAACATTAACATTACCTTCCAAATCTACACTAAAACCTAAACTACCCTAATCAACTTACCTCCATGAGGTATATATGTGTGTGGTGTTATGAGTGTGAGAAGGGAAGGAGAGGTTATAGGAGGCTAAGATGAAAAACACCTATCAGCTGCCTCCTGCACGCCCCCTACTGGGGATGTCAGAAAGTGTTCATTTTTTTAATGTATTGTACTATCTGAGCTGGTTAGTGTGCAGTCACACATTATGTTACTGCTGTGACCAGTTCTCCCATTATGACACGGGGGGTGGTAAGTCGGGTCCACATTTATAGTTCTGCCTCTTGGAGAAGCTGAAGTCTCCCACCTGAGAGCCTTCCTTCAGCTTCCCTCCCAGAGGTTCTCAAATATAGTCCTCCCAACCAGAAATCAGAGAACCGGGTTCATTCTTATCAGGAGTGCTTGTTGTGTGACTCCCTAAGCCACAGGAATGATATAACCCTTGTACAATGTCTTCCTCCAGCTCCATCACAGATGGAATCTCAGTGGACCTGGACTCCAAAGCTGGGTAAGGGGAGAGGCTGGTAGAGGCAGACCTCTGAGAGAAGGAGTTTGAAGAAAACCCAGCTGATCAAGCCTGTTGACAAATGAGGTGTGGGACCAGGCAGAGAGAAGAATTCTCTGAGTTGTGTTTACTGAGCCTGTCTTCTCAGGCGCAAGGTAGGCAAACCCCCAATTCCCACAGAGCTGTCACAGTCCTGGATCAAACATTTTCCTCAGTGACTTCCTTCAATGAACACCAATAGAAATGGAACCCAGCAAGGGTGAGTATCTACTTCTCCTGTGAAAGCATGCAGAATCCCTCATCTTCTCCCTGCTGTGTGACTATTCCTGCTCTTCATTTCACTCTCATTTCAAAAAGCAACTTGGAGAAGTTCAAACTTACCCAGTCTTCCCAGGAGCCTCTGGGATTCTTTCTCTTGAAGGGCTCCAACCTCTTCAGGATCTTCTGACAAGCTTCCTAAAGAACAAATGCACCACACATCAGACCTATCAGCCCTCTGCATGCCCTGGCACAGGGAAAGCCTGAGAGCCTCCACAGAGCCACCTCCCAGGGATGCTGTGCCCAGGGCACCACTCAATCAGCCTTGTCACCCACTAAAACAGCATTCGCCAACTGGTGGTCCATGCACCACTGGTGATCCGTGAGGTCCGAAAGGTTGGCAACTGCTGGTTTAAGGAAACCTTTGGAGCAGCGGTCACCAATCAGTGGTCCATGGACCACTGGTGATCTGTGAGGTCCGAAAGATAGGTGACCACTAGTCTAAGACATCACCCTTCCCAAGGAACCACCACTGGCCTATGCTTGGAGAGCACTCCTGAGCCAGTTCTCACACTGACAACAGGTAAAATGCTTGAGGGATCTCTAAAGAGGTACTTTCTCACATTTGTTTGATGATATCCTCCACCTGGGAGAAGAAGCAAGTAGATCTGACCTGGCCAACTCCATTTCATTTTCAGCCCATTGTTGGTTGGCCAATTCTCACACCAATAGTATGTCTTCCCACAATCTCCTGTATTTCCCCAACTCTCCTCCCCTTCCTCCCCTCATCCTTCCTGTCTCTGATGGAAGTGGTGGTGGTTCTCTCTTTTAGCTTAGCATTTGGAGGAGCTGGGTTCTCCTCAGTAAGAGAGCCCAAGGCATGGTCACAGCCAAGAGCCTGCAAGGACCACTCCAGCTCCCACGCCAGGGACTCTCTGGGCCCAAAACCCTGGTCTGGCCCCAGTTCCACTGGTTCCTGAGGCTCCTTACATAGACGGCCTGTCCATTGATGTCAGTGCTGATAGAAGCAGAAGTGGGAGAGGTGTTGGGCACCGTATTAGTGCTTGTCTCACTGATGTAAATCTTAGAGATGGGGATTTTCAGAGCTTTGCTGGCCACCTGTGAAGAAAGACAACATAAATAGGGTAGAGAAGATTCTTTGAGAATGTTCCTTTAGGGAAGGGAAGAGCATGGGACTTGGCTGCCTTTCCCCCAAGACAGGATTCGGGTTCACAGGTACAGGCAAGGAACCAATTCCGTAAACTATAATTCTGCTGAGGCTGGAATGTTCCCATGTCTGCCTGAACTTGAAGCAGAACTTTATGGAATGGCTTGGATGGAGAAAAAATTTTCAACCTCATGGTGATTAAAGTGCCTTTTAACAAGTTCGTAGTTACAATAGAGTGCTGGGGATGTAAATTACAGCATAAGGGATATTGTCAATAACATTGTCATAACTATGTATGGTGCCAGGTGGACATTGAAAAAATCGGACGGTACACTTTGTAAAGTATATGATTATCTAACGACTATGCTGGACACCTGAAACTATTACAAAATAACATTGAATGTAAAGTGCAATTGAAAAATAAAATTTTTATCAAGTGCCATTAAAAACTAACCCTAACTTTAAAAAACAAAAATATCCCATTTGGCCAGTCCCCAGGAGCCAAGCAGGTGTGTCCACTCTCATCCAGCTTCACCATGCAACTCCACTGTGAGGCATCTCGCGTGTGCGGAACTAGCTACCTTTGTACACACAACACCCACTTAACACATAGTCACAGAGCCCTAGATTATTGGTGACATAAGTGACCTCAGACAGCACATGGCCAACCCCTTGGCACAAATGAGGAAACCCTTGCTCAAGGTCACATTAAAATTTGCAGCATAGCCAGTGCCAGTGCCTAGGCCTGATTCTGCTCCTGGAATATCCCTTCCCTCAGTATCTCCCAGCATCTCCCCTACATAGACACCACAGGCCGCTCACCTGGACCATCTTGGTGTGGAGGCCCTGGCCCATCTCAGTGCCCCCATGGGTCAGCAGCACGGAGCCATCTGTGTACACAAGAATCAGGGCTCCTGCCTGAGGGGAGAGAAGAATGCCAGACACAAAGGTAGTCAATTCTAGTTTAGCTTAAGACTTGAGACAAAAGATACTGCAGCCCAGGGAAAAGGGAAGCAGCAACAACATTTTGGATATAAACCCCCGACAAAAATTAAAGCAGTATAATCCTCATAGTTTAATTAGGCAACCCTTCAGTACTTTGCAATTTTTTTCAATCTCAATCTCTCTCTCTCTCTCTCTCTCTCTCTCTCTCTCTCTCTCTCTCTCTCTCTCTCTCTCTCTCTCTCTCTCTCTCTCTCTTTTCCTCCCCCTGTAAATGAAGAAAGAGGATCAGAAAACTGAGTGACTGTCCATGGTCCTGTAATCAAGAAGGGTAAGTACTAGAATTTGACTCAAAGTCTCCGAGTCTCAGGCTGTCTTGTGGCATTCTGGACAAATAAAGGATATGCAAATTCATTTACACAGCAAAGGGCTCCTCTAGTTAGCTCTGTTATGAGGGGCAGTTGGTTTTCCCTTTCAAAGAGGAGGGAATGGGCCCCCAGTCTCCTGGAAATGGACAGAATTATATAAAGCAATTACCTGATTCAGAAAAGAAAGAGTGTAGTCTATTCCAAACTTGATAGGAATTATGCACAGTCCTCTCTTTTTCCAACAATGCTCCCTGGAGAAAAAGGAACATTCTCATAGAATCTTCTCTATTGTATTTTCATCTGGTGAAACAAGTTTTCTGGCAATAACTTAAAATTGACATCAGGCATCCTCAGAGCTGCCCAGATAGTCACTGTGATATCTGCATTGCATAGACAGCATAAGAAAGGCAGGGATTTGGGTTCTGGGTCCTTCAGTGCAGCTGGAGCAGGCCCACCCCTGAGCATATGACTTGAAGTATCATCACTCTTCTTCCCCAAGGGGAATTCAGATTGGGTCAGACTCTCCTGGTGACCTTGGACTGTGACCGTCCAAGGGAGGGACTGTGGCTCATGGATGATAATGATAGCACCTCCTCTGTGCTTTATATTTGGTTTTCCCAATAATTTAGCAAAGAAGACAGAGCCAGCCTAATTACCCCCACTTTGTATATGATGAAGCTGAGGCCCGAGGAGGTGGAGTGACTGACAAGGTGACATTTATAGATCAGTGTTAGAGGCAGGCGCATAACTGTGGCATTCTCAGTCCTGGGCTGGTGTCTAGAGAATGTGGTATGACCAGGAGACAGACAAACATGTAAAGACACCACACTGAGGGATTATGACATTGGATGCAGGCTGAGCTCACCTGCCCCGGACTAAGATCATTTTATAATCTTAAAGGAGTGGCTATGAGTGATTTGGCAAATACAGCAACCTCATAAGTTATTCATTAAATTATTAGCTTTGTTCTGAGTTCAGCAAAAAGGCTGCAGAATATAAAACTCCTCCCCTCCCAGCACTTACTTGTTGAACTTGTCCACCTCACTCCTCCGAGCATGATACTCAGAGATTGCTAGACATTCATCCCAGCACCTGGGCAAGGTGAACCCCTCAAGCTTCTGGTTGAAGTGTGTCAGGTCCCCTTCTTTGTACATGTTCTTCTTCCGCACCTTCCCAAGGAGAGAGACACTGAGGCCTTGTTGGCACGAGATGAGGGCAAATCCTACAGTTAAGCTTCCGGCCCCTATCATCAGCCCCTGTCTGTCCTCTGCCCCCAGGAGAAATACCCAAAACACAAAGCCCCTGTCCCCCGGAAAGTAGGCTAGCCCACTCTGACCTGTGCCACCAAATTCCCAGCTTACTTCCTCAGCAGGCAGCCCGCAGGTCACTGCGACTTCACTCATCCAGTGCTCGGCAATGAGCATCCCCTGCGGTCCCCCAAAACCCCGGAAGGCTGTGTTGGAGGGCAGGTTGGTCTTGCATGCCTGCCCAGTGCCCCGGATGTTGGGGATTTTGTAGGAGTTGTCCATATGGAGCAGAGCTCGTCCTACTACCTGAAGCAGAGGAAGTCAACATGGGAGAGAACAGCTTTTTTATTTTTTATTATTTTTGCATTGAAAAAGTTTTATTGGACAGCATTATTACAGACAAATAAAAACTAGCAATCTGGGTGTGCATGTTTCAAAATATATAATCTGAAAACCATAAGATTGATAGGAAAAAGGAAGTAAGTTGCAGGAAGACAACTGGAGTATCCTCCCATTTAAATAGGATGAAAGGAATGGATTACAGTTGCCTTCAGGAAGGGAAGTGTGTGGTGAGAGATGAAGTGGCTGGGGGACTTCTCATATATGTCCTTTGCGTCTTTTAAATTTCAAACCATGCCATTGTATCATATATTTAAATATAGTAAGAGAGCCCTAACTGGTTTGGCTCAGTGGATAGAGTGCCTGTGAACTAAAAGGTCCCAAGTTAGATTCCGGTCAAGGGCATGTACCTTGGTTGTGGGCACATACCCAGTAGGGAGTGTGCAGGAAGCAGCTGATCAATGTTTCTCTCTCATCCTTAAACAGGGATGTCTCTAACTCTCTATCCCTCTCCCTTCTTCTCTGTAAAAAATCAATAAAATATATATTATTTAAATAAATAAATATAGTAGGAGAATTCTCCTGGCCCCCAACCAATTCAAGATAAAGGTCCAATGTATGTACAGTCTGTTTGGACTTTGGCAAAACCATATTTATTAGTTATTTATTGACATCTTCCCATCAGGTTACTCAAAAAAAGTAACCCTATGTTTCTTCTCTGTGATATTCTTATCAGCTATTTAATGAACATGTGCTTATATTGTCATCCCTAACTTTTCCAGTTGTAGACTTTTGAGGAGTTAATTTCCACCAACCACACTTTCCCTGAATACATACCTACTTTCTGTTCCCCGTCCTTCCCATATAGTTAAATTTCTATCTATATTTTAATGTTATGATTACTTCTCTTGCTTGTTAATATTTCCCCTGGAATTTATAAATTTTGTCTTTATTTTTCCATTTGCTTAGTCCTCTGGGCATTTATTACTAAGTCAACTTAAAAATGTATGCTTATCAGTTGGGGGAAACTGCTTGAATTACTTCTCTCTTTTTTTCCATTCTTCCCTTTTGAAATTCTACTATATGGATTTTCTGGACTGGTTCTCAAATTTTGTTGTATTTTCTCTCTTACTTTTCCACATTATTTTCTCTTGAGGGGACAGTGCTCCTCCATGTTCTTTCAAAACTTCTGCTTCCACAGTTATGATTCACAAGAGTTCATTTTTATTCTCTGACTGGTCCATTTTTATAGCATATTGTTCTTCCCTTAAGGTGTAATAACTCATCTCTCTGAAGCCATAAATGGTAGCTTTTATTTGTTTCATTTAGGTGTAGGTTTTATTAGTTTGATTTTTAAATATATTTTTTATTTATTTCTGAGAGGTAGGAAGAGAGATCAGTACTGAGAGAGAATCACTGATTGGCTGCCTCCTGCAAGCCCACACTAGGGATCAAGCCTGCAACTCAGGCATGCGCAGTGACCACGTTCGGGAATCAAAGGATGACCTCCTGGCTGACAGGTAGATGCTCAACCACTGAACCACACCGGCCAGGCTATTATTTCATTTGGATTTTAGCTTACTTCCTCATGCATAGTTTCTCTTTCCCACAGGTTACTTTTTGTGTCTAATTATTTCAGTCCTAGACATCCTAAATAATTTTTGTATATCTCAGTTCCTTCTTTGCTTTTCCTTTGCATGCTATCAAATTGCACTTTTATTTCCTCTTGTCCATCATTATCTGTCTCTCTCGCCATGCCAGGAATTTCCTGAGGGCAGAAACAACGTTATATGCTTTTTCTTGTTGCCACCCTAGGCAGTTGATAAATATTTGCTGGGTTGAATATAAAAGCTTGTAAAATCTTTGGGGACAAGTACTACATCTTTTTCTACCTGGTTTTTCTACAACCAAGAAGCCAGTGTTATGAATTGTAAGAACACTAAAAATGTTTCCTTTTTGAACAATCTTTATAGCAGAGCTGAAGTGTGAAGTTTCCTGATTGAGCAGATTAGAGAGTCCCCAGCAGGGAGGGGTTGGGGAGCTAGTAAGAAACTTCTGTTTTTCCTGAAATGTTTGACTTTTTCTCTTTTTAAAAATATTTTTTATTGATTTCAGAGAGGAAGGATGAGAGAATAGAAACATCTATCTGAGAGAGAATCATTGATTGACTGCCTCCTGCACACCCCCTACTGGGGATGGATCCTGCAACCCAGGCATGTGCCCTTGACCTGAATTGAACCCAGGACTCTTCAGTCTGCAGGCCAGTACTCTCTTCATTGAGCCAAACCAGGGAGGGTTGACTTTTCTTTACAACAAGAATCTATGCACATGTAACTAATATGGTTATAAAATTAAGGTTTAAAAAAAAACTTTAAAAGGAGTACTAACCAAGGTAACTTAATTTTCAAGGCTGACAAAAATATGTCTATACAAGACTCTTAGGAGAATGTTCAAAGCAGCTTTAAACACAAAAGCTAAAAACTGGAAATAACCCAAATGTCCATCAAGTAGTGAACAGAAAACCAAAAATAGTCTATATCAAGAAATATTGTTCGTCAATAAAAATAAATGGAGGAATGATGTATGCTGTAACATGGATGAATTAAAAAACATTATTCTGAGAGAAAAGCTAGATACAAAGGACTACATGGTGCATTATTCCAGTTATTTGAAAAGGAAAACCTACAAAGACTGAAAGTAGATTAGTGGACATCTGGACCTGAGCATGGGAATAAGAATAACCTCAGATGGGCAGAAGAAGTCATTGGGAGGTGATAGAAATGTTCAACACCTGGATGGTGATAATGGTGCATGACTTTAAAACCATGATATGATATCATTCAAATGGGTGAATTCTGTGGTATGTAAGCTATTTTTCAATACGTTGTTTTTTAAAAAGTAACAACTCCTTATCTAAAATTCAAATATCACAGAAATGTGCAGTGTAGAAAATGACCGAGTGTTGCCGCCACCCTCACCCCTTAACCCATCCAATCACTGTTTGGTATGTCTTCCTTCAGACTTTTCCATGCATATCACTAGACAAACATGCACACACAGACAATGTCACCATATTATATGTGAAGCTTTATACCCAACTTTGCTTGCTAGTTAGAATATCTTGCACAAGAAGGATGAGTTTCCAATCAGAGAAGAAAGGTGACCATCTCTGTGCTTTAAAAATTAACCAAGGATGGAGAATCTGAAGGCTGGAACTAATTGGGAAGCTTTAAAGCATAAAAGGCAAAAAGGGAGGGGGTGTGTACCTGGCTGTATGAATAGGTTGGTGTGGGGGGAGGGGGCATGCCCTTAACCTCTTAGTCACCCCAAAGTGCAGGAAGAGGCCTTACTTACTCTCAGAGAGAGATCCTCGGAGTTCCCGGCATTGCCGTAGTGCTCCACCTCCAGGGCCACAACCTTCCCTGTCTTCATGAAGCCAACCTGACAAGAAAGAGAGTGGTTTCCCAACAGTCCCCTTGCTCCTTCTATCTCTACCTCCCCCCTCCTACCCACGCTTCCTGGAGGAAATAGAAAGAGCAAGACATCACACCATGAAAGAGGGGGAACATAAGACATCATCAAAACCAGAAGAAAGAAACTTGTATCTTCCCAGGGACAGACCCAGGGCTCAACCCTGGAACCCCTTCTCCCTACCTTCTCTCCTTTCTACCTGCACCTGGCTTCTGGTCCTACCCCTGTCTATCTCTCCCTGTTCCCTCCCACTTTTGCTACCTGGAGGATAGAAAATACAGTGTGGGTAATGGCAGGGCAGGCAGGGAGGGCTGGGAAAGTGACTGGAGTCTCTCCTCAGAGCTTTTGGCCAGCAAACAATAAAATCTGCACTTTACAAGAGCTTCAGTGTGCTCTGACCTCCCTCACCCTTAGCAATCATTGAACCAACTCTTAAGGGTCATTTGATAAGTGAAGAAACTGGGACCCCCAAAGACCAAGTGACTTTCTTTAAGTCCATAAGAATTAAGAGAAATATAATCTCTTTGGGGAAGTTCAATCATGAAACAATGAGAAGAGTTTAAAGAGAGAGTGTTCAAAGCCAGCTCATGGAGAGAGAGGACGCACAGGTTCACAGTGCTACAATGGAACCTGCAAGTTGGCAATGGTGTGCAAGGGGACAGGATGCAGGGTGAGAATAGGAAGTGGTCACCCACGGGAGCCCAGAAAAGGTCTGTCTTACAGGGAAATTGGGCAATGCCCAGCCTCATGTGACCTGGAAGAGCAGGTGCCCATCCTAACAACGGGTGTCTGTAACAACTTGTGCCCGTCCAGGCCCTGGGAAGTTTTATTTCTCGTTGTGAAATATTAAATACGGTAGTCATTCTGTTTCCACAACCAGCTGTGAGCACATTAAAACTAGGCCATCCTGCAGGAGAGGACTTCCCCAGGTCTGCTGACCAGTCAGGTTTCTGAACCTGAGTAGACAAAGACTAAATTCTCGAAAGCTGTGCCCATCACCACCCTATGACATGGGGAGGCCTGCTAGCATCCACAGCATCACTCCTCAATGTTTGCCAATATGAATGTCTCCTGCAGCTATTTCTCCTTGGCACTTTCACAGATAGTCCTAAGAAAAGTGAGAGTCCATCCTAAGGGGATGGCACTGCCCGCGCTGGCACAGCTCCCAGCATCTGGAACCTTGTATCTGGCCAGGAAGGGATTTCTGCCTCCTGTGATCAGCATGTCCTCATCACGATCCAGCATGCAGCGTACAGGGCGGCCAGTCCTGAAGGAGACACCAGAGGGTAAGAAAACTAGGGTCCCTGCAACAGCCCAGCCCTGTGAGTTTATGGGGTGAAAACAGCAGGAAAGTCTGCTTTTTCAACCTGGCACACTAAGCACACTTGGGCAGGGCTGCTTGCTGTCTAGACACTTGACAGGTGGGAAAAGGTAGGATGTGAGCTGTGTCCTTGCCCTCAGGGCTCTCACACCCTCACAGCCAGGTGGAGAGATCAGGACACAGGCACCAGAACAAAAAGGATCACTTGATGTTATCTTCTCCTCTAGGCCCCAAAGTTCTAAAAACAGCAAAGTAAGGAGAATCTACTTCCCACAGAGGGGAATCCAGGAAGCCTTCATGGCAGAGGCAGCCTTCTTCTTCCCAGAGCCCATGGGGAGGACTCACTTGTATGCAGCCATGGCCACTGCCGTGGACACCAGGGTGCTCCGGGTCTCCTTCCC